CCCACTTGGCTCACCGGTGCCACCCGCCAAGGGCGCTGCTCAGGGTTCCCAGGGGCGAGACTTTCAGGGAGAGTCATGCCCGAGTCCTCGGGGTTTCAGCGGGGAGCTTCTGAGCAGTGCCGGGCTCGCCCCCGACGGGCAGTCGGCGAGGCGGCAGAACCACGCACGCCGCCTCCCCAGAGCCGGGCCGGGCTCGGCAAGCGCCCCTCTGCTGCGGGAAGACCACGCTGTAACTCTGGGCACGGGCCTGGCGCTGCCTCAGAGCCCGACGACCGCTGGGAGCCCACGCCGAGGCCAGGCCACGGCAGGCCCAGGTGCTCCTGTCTTCGTGTCAGTTCATCGCCATCTGCGCCTCGGCCGGTCGGCGACGCTGAACGGCGGCACGGGATGGCACTGTCCAGGGAGGCGGCCACCAGCCACGTGCAATCTGGCGGAGACGCGTGGGGAGACCGACACGCACGCCCCCCGAAGACGGCGCGAAGCGGGGAATCGGCCGGTCGGCGACGCTGAACGGCAGCACGGGATGGCGCCGTCCAGGGAGGTGGCCACCAGCCACGTGCGATCTGATGGAGACGCGCGGGGAGACCGACACGCACGCCCCCCGAAGACGGCGCGAAGCGGGGTACGTCTCGCCGTGGCCCCTGCGCTGAGCTCGGGCCACGCACCGCACCTCAGACGCCCCACGGCGCTTTTCAAGTTCACCTGGTTCAGCGCTGCACTGCGAACTTAAAATTCTGCTCACGTTTACAGCGCCTCTTTTTCCCGTGCTGGGCCAGACGGGTAACCCCAAAACCTCACGGCCTCGGTCCCGCTTTAACGCCTGCACTTCTGGGCGGCTCCCACAGCAAGTCAGCAGCAAACGGGGTGGAAATCTCTTCCTGTGGCTCAACTTCCCTCCCTCTAAAACGGGGATGACGCCGCCTCTGATGTGACACGAAGGGGGAAAGCGATCTGAAGTCGACCGCGTGTTATGCTCATCGCGTCACTGTAACAACCACGCTGCGCTTAGTTCCCAGGGCTCCGAGTGTGAAGCGGCACCTGGACCACGGCGTAAACGGGGTGACGCGGGACACTGCAGCTTCTCCCAGACGCTGGGACTCCAGCCGGACCGGAGGCAGCTGGTGCCTGAGCCCGGAGAGAATCGAGAGCCCAACCCCCCGAGGGCAGGAGAAGCCGGACCTGCCCCGGACCTGCCCGGACCACACGAGACGCTTTACACTTCACGGACATGAGGCGGTGTGTGTTTCTGACCCAGTAAATGCTAAAAAGGAAAGAGAAAAGTTAGCAACATTTTTACAAACTAGTGGCTATTATTTCATTATTGTTTTTAGTCCTCCCGAGAACTTTTAGAGGTAAGCCAAATACCCGGACTTTTACAGATTAAAAAAACATAGGCGAATGACATGCACACTCATGTCTCCCTACCCAATGAATTCTTCCCATCAGGAAAAAGGGGGCAGAATATGGGGCAGCCCCAGAATCGGGGACCATGGACACCCGGAAACTAGAGGTGCTTCCGCAGTAACCCACCTGCGGCAAAATCCAGTAAGAGCGTGTCTGGATCTACAAATAGGTGGGCTGGGTTTTAAAAGAACGCAGAAGCCGAGTCTGCCAACGCTGGGGTTCTGGTTCCCGGTGTGGGGTGTGGGCGGGAGGAAGCTGTCATAACACAGCGACCAGAGGAAACCCAGGAGGCAAGCTGTGGCCAGCAAGCGGGGGCAGGGGCATGTCACAGGCAGCAGCAGAGACCCTCGCAGGAAGGGGAAGGTGGGGAGGGACAGGACACGAAGCCCTGAAGCCCTGACACTGGGCCGGCCACCTATGATCATAGAGTCCGTACATACTGTGTGGGGACCATGCCAACTCCAGCCAGGTCACGCCTTTCACCCCTTGAAGCAGGCGAGACTCTGCCCGGGGCCTCTGTGCCAGCTCCGGCACCTCAGACCCTGCTCAGCCCCAATGGCAAGCAGCGACGGCCACCGCCATGGCCTCCTTCATTTCTCGACAGGCCTTCACCTTCACTGACCCCTCAGAGTGAGGGGGCCAGCCAGGGACGGCCCCAAGTCTGCACAGCGGGCCACAGGTCCTCTGGACGCCCCGGAGGCTGCCTCGTGGATTCCTACAAACTCAGCTGGGAGGGGCTGAGCCACTTGGAAGCTCGCGAGTCACAGGGGAGGGAGGGGTTCTGCCCCGTCCCAGGACGCGCACCGGGTGAGCGGAACGCCTCGCCAGACCTGGCGCTAAGGGGGCTTGCTCGCCAGGACCCCGCGCCCCCCAGACCCGCAGACTCGGAGCGCAGCCCGTCTGAACAAAGGGCCCTCTCCCACCTCCCGCAGCCCCCAGCCCTGCCACGTCGACTCCCCAGAAAGTCACTCCACTCCAGTTACTCGGGAATCACATTCTTAGAATAACTCATCAATTATACCTGTCAACTTGCCAAAAGTGCCACGGGGCGGTGGGGAGTCTGGGCGGCATCCAGCTGAGCAGCGCACCCGTGCACAGAGGGTCCCCAACTCTGCAAATGGCCTTCAGGAGCTCACAGAAACCAGAGTCCAAGGAAACGCAGGAGTGCCCGGGGGGCCGCGGACACCGCCGCCGGGTTCCTCTCGGGCCGGGGGACGGCGTGGGCCTGTCCGGCTCTGCTGCAGAGCGGGACACCTGCCGCGGCTAACGGGGCCACCACGGGGCCACCACGGGGCCACCACGGAAGCCGCTGGGCAACGCCGCAAAGCACCGCGCTGCTTAAACAGGCACACGGACCCACGGTCCCTCGCCGTGCTGCCGGGGAAGCGGTGCCAGGCAGACGTGCTTTCTGACTGGCAGGGGTCGTCGGTAATTAAAGCATTCACTGTGTGCAAATGCCGCCGCGAGATCTTTGGGAAGTCTGCTCTCTGAGCCGGCCCAGGGCTGCCGTGGACGCCAGGACGCCACGCACGGGCGGGGCCCCCGCGCGAGCACCCGGTACCGAGACCCAGGAGAACGAGGCTGCCCTTTGC